ATGTGACTGTTCCAAATGTATTCACTTCTGATGAAATTTCTTTCAATTTCAGGGACTCACCTTGCCTGGAGCCATCCCATTTTCCCTTTCAAAAGGTGATGTCAGTCACTTAGTACAGAAATTGTTTTTTTGCCATTTAAAGTGCTTTATTGCCATGACTTAACAGAAGTGCACAGCTTTACAGCACTTTAAAATGGATACAGTACTTTTAATACCTCATTTAACAAGGGCTAATTTAATTTGAAGCACGGTATTTTATGGGACTTTAGCAACCTACAGTGCTTTAAAGAACTTCTGTATGATGGTCAAATATCTGACCAGTGGAGAAGCCCCAGGAGGCTGCTGAGCACCCCCTGCTTCCTAGCCTGAAAAGTGCAGGGAGGCTCAGAGGCCTCCCCCACCAAACACTGCACTTCTGTCATGTTTAAGAGCACTGTAACTTTATAGTGCTATAAAAAGTGCTCTAAATTACAGTGCTGTAAAATGTGCACCGAGCACTTCTGTACACACCCTTACAACTGTAGTATAAGGATGCCAGCCATTGCTTTCTCAGATTTCTAGGAAGCTGTTTTTTGGTATGTCATCTGACTCTGCACCTAGAAAATTCCTGCTTGTTCTGATCTCTGCCACCTCCACCCACCTTGGTGCTGACTCTGTAAGATCCAAGGAAATGGGTATGCTGCTGTAAAGGTACCCCAGTCTCTTTCCTACTCCATACAGCATAGAAAATATTTGCACAGAGGTCTATCCCATGCATGGATTACTAGGGCAGTAGTTAGTCTAATATAGGGGTTGGCACTAGGGCTGTGCGAAACGGCACCATTCCATTTCGCCTTCAGTTTCCACGGTTCAATGGAACAGCATTCCATTTTGAATTTCATTTTCAGTTGAAACAGTTGTTCCATTTCATTCTGTTGAAACAGAAAGGCTGTTTCAACATTTCTCTGGGGATGGGGAGTCAGCCCAGGTGGGCTGACTCCCCATCCCCCATGCTAGATAGTTTCATAATTTCTAGTTTCTAGCACAGGGGATGGGAAAACAGCCCAGCTGGGCTGCCTCCCACCCCCCACATGATCTAGCACTGGGGATGGGAAAGCAGTCCAGCTGGGCTGCCTCCTGCCCCCCCGCGCAATCTAGTGTCAGGGATGGAAAGCAGCCCACCCGGGCTGCTTCCTGCCCCTGGAGTTATCTAGTGCAGGGGGATGGGAAAGCAGCCCAGCTGGGCTGCCTCCCGTCCCCCACGCAATCTAACACTGGGGATGGGGATCTAGTGTGGAGGATGAGAAGTCAGCCCAGCTGGACTGACTTCTCATCCCCAGCCTATGGTTGAAACATTTCAACTTTCAAAATGTTTCGACTATCCTCATTTTCTTTCGAGGCTATTTCGACGGCCTTTGTTTCATTCTGATTTTGCTGTTTTGACCTCGAAATTGGTTGAAACAGTATCAAAATGAAATGGCTGGTGAAATTTCACACAGCCCTAGTTGGCACCTGTGGTTTGGATCCAGCCTGCAGGGCCAAGAAACTCTGCCTGCACCATGCCCACCCACCTCAGACCCAAACAAGGCCATCCCAGCCCTCCCCCACTGCCTTCTCTCCCCCTTCCAGCCCAGGAAACATTGCCAACCCCTGGTCCAATATATTGAGGGCCCACCCTGTTTTACTGAAAGCCGATAAGAGATGGCTTGGCTGTCTGATTCACAAATTAGGCTTTAAAGGTATCTTTTTTAAAAGAGAAACAATACTGTACATTGAGGACTTTTATTCAAAGTGACAGTTTTAAGACAAAGTGAAAAAAAACCCTACCAATTTAGTTGTTATGAATTACACACATTAGAGTGTGAGCGAAGGTGGATATTCTAACACATAAAATCCCTCCATACAGTAAATTGTACTACTGTGACCTGCTGTAAATATGGGGTAGTTTGGTAGTCTTTAATATGTGCCAGGTCCTAAAGGCTTAATCCTTTCTCTGGCACAAATTCTACTGAAGTGAGCAGTAGTTGTTCCTGAGAAAGTACAGTGGGTTTTGGCCCTATAAACAGGTTATACAGAGAGAGTTCCAGGAAGAGAGACTGCTTATTTAAACAGTAGAAATCTCAAGTGTATTGATTCATTGTTCAAAACCATTCATGTGTGAGAAAATTCTCCAAACCCTTAGGTTTCATTGTTAAATTCATCATCATTGTATGAGTGATTAGTTTAAATTAGATTTATAGGTTATTTTGCCTAAACACCAGTAGGAAACCAAGCGCCAAATCTGTTCCTTGGGCATCCCTTTAATGTAATAACTCAGGGGTTAGCAACCTTTTTGGATCAGTGTACCCCCAGTGGCCAGGCACAGAGCAGCAGCGGTGGGGGTGGGGAGGAAGAGTGGTGGCAGCCACTGCATGAAAGCTCTCAGCCCCCCACATCCAGAATGGTGCATGAGAGCGTGGGATGGTGCATGGTGGCAGGCTGTCCCTGCTCTCCCGCGCATACCCCCCAGGGCCTTCTTATGTACCCCCGGGCATATGCATACCCCTGGTTCACAATCCCTGCAATAACTTAAAACAATATAATATATTAGGTAGGACAACTGTTTCTATGCACATTTCCTATTAAGGTGACCTACATAATGTTAAAGCTGGTAATTTTCTATAGAAAAAAATATATACAAGTCACTAATGCAAATAGATCTTTTAATTATTTTCATACTGTGACAAGATATTTTATTTAATAGGATTTATTTGTAGTTTCAACCATTTATTAGCTTGGCCTCGGTTTCTTGGATCAATATTAATGTTTCATTTCCTTGAAACTGTCATCTAGACTTCAAGCACTCTAATACCCACCATTTACTAAAACTTGCCTGCTGGCGTTGAAGGAAGAATATCATGGTGATCGATAAGCTTAGCTAGGTACATGATTTATAGTGTTAGGCTCATTTAAAATCTATGTGGCAAATACTGAAGTCTCCAATTACTTACAGTACTAGGCCCTGGCTAAGGCAGGGGTTTTTTTGTATTTAAAAGTAGAAATTCTAATGTTTTTAACCATGCATTTTGCCATGCGTGAGGCTCAGGAATTGACCCTTTGCCATTTCTATCTGCACAAAGATTTATGGTTGTATGAGACAGAAAAAACTAGGGCTAGATCTTTACGTGATCTAATCCATGTAGCTCTACAGAAGTCAAGACATCTCTATGATTGAAGCCAGTAAGGATATGGCCACCACAGTATACTAGAGAAAAAGCCTCTAGTGTGTTTTAATGAAAGTTCATCTCCCACCACCGTTAACTGGGCATTGTTGAAAGTGCTGCTGACAACAGAACCTAATCATTAGAGATATGATGATGTAAGATGTACGCGTTTTAAGGGAAAATATAAAAGCTTTTCAAACTGTGTAATAATTTGGATGAGTTTCACATGGATGTCTTACCACTGTGGTTGGGCCACTGGCAGTACAAAAAGAGGCGTTTTGGAGAACACCTCTCCTGATATCAGTGATAGCAAAATGAGGAACAAGTAACTACTTTATTACAAGATCAACGGAAAAGAAGATTAAAATCTTCCACTTCACATTACTATAAGGAAAACTTAAAAGCACTAGATAAGCATAGTTACACTCACATTTGTATCATTTGAATGCATTAACTATAACTCAGCATGTTGGTTAATTTTCATTACAAAATACTGAAGATAACATACGTAATGGGGTGAATTAAATATAAGGAAACAAATTAAAGCTAAAGGTATGAAACAAATAGCTTTAGTTTCTCTTCATGCCCACCATAATAATCCAATCTTTAATGTTTGACTTTAAAAAAAAACCTTTGGAAGGGAAAACAAAGGCAATCAAATAAAATCAGTTTCATAGAAATTTCTGCAGCCAGTATCAATAAATAAATACCTTGTAGACATCATGCACTGTTGTTAGCCTGTCAAATCGCAGGTACATTGAATTTAACATGAGGACTATCTGGATAGGTTCACACTGGGCACAAATGTTGGTAAAGGTCACAACATCACTGAACAATATGGTGCATTCTTTAAACTCTCCTGTGGGCAGAAAAGCCAGTGTTGAATCATTCTAATAGGCGATAGCAATCTGTAATTCTTTCTGCTATGCAAACAAAAGACTTTTTTTGCTCAGTTTGTCTTTTTTGCTACATTTTTAGAAAATAACACCATTTTCAGGGTTCTTTTGATTCACATGCATAAGGAAGGATCTGATATAATATTGTATCAAATATAGGAACATCAACCCATTTTGAACAATATACACACCTCTCTACAACAAAAAGGAGGCAAGCAAAAACAAAACAGTACCTGATTCCTCAAGGTACTTCAGTATGTGCTTAACAGCAAGAATATGCACAAAGCCCATTTCCTTGGGTGCTGTCCTGAACAAAAAATATTTTCCTGACTGAAGACTGATGCTGAGCTAATCTGTATTTTAGAGGCACTGAGGAAGTTTTCCTGCAGCAGATCAGTTTCTTCAATCTCCTCCTCTTGGTTTTTTACTCCCTCTTCCCTGTTTCACTCCTGCCCCTCCTTCCATCACCTACCTAGGTTGTAAGGTCACCGGTGCTTTGATTACTGTGAGTGGGTAGACAAAGACGATGGGAAGCTGGGTGACAGCGACCACGAGCTGATCACCTTCACCATCTGCCGAAAAGCTGGCAAGTTGGTCAGCAACGCGCAAGTCTTTGACTTCAGGAAAGCCGACTTTGACAAGCTCAGGAGGCTTGTCAGTGAGGCCCTAAGGGACCGTGACCACAGGGAGAGGGGAGTTCAAGAGGAGTGGTTGCTCCTCAAGGAAGCAATCCTCAATGCACAAACTAAGTCTATTCCATCTCGGAGGAAAGGCAGCAAGAGGGCACAGCAGCCCCCCTGGCTCTCCAGGGACCTAGCAGACCTCCTGAGGCTAAAAAGAAAGGCCTACAAAGGATGGAGGATGGGAGTCACCTCCAAGAAGGATTATTCTGCACTGGTCCGGTCCTGTAGGGAGCAGACCAGGAAAGCCAAGGCTGCAACTGAACTCCAGCTAGCTTTGAGCATCAAGGACAATAAAAAGTCCTTTTTCAGATATGTGGGGAGCCGGAGGAAAAGCAGAGGCAACATTGGACCCCTGCTGAGCCAGATGGGGCAACTGACAACTGACGCCCAGGAAAAAGCCAACCTATTAAATAGGTACTTTGCGTCAGTCTTGCATCAGTCCCATGGGACGCCCATGCCCGCTACAGGGCCGGGAAGTCCGGGTGAGGGTGATCCCCTGCCCTCCCTTAATGCTGACTTTCTGAAAGAACATCTTGAGAAGCTGGATACCTTCAAGTCAGCCGGCCCTGACAATCTTCACCCCAGGGTACTCAAGGAGCGGGCGAGCATCATAGCCCAGCCTCTAGCACGGATCTTTGAAAACTCTTGGCGCTCTGGTGTAGTGCCCGAAGACTGGAAGAAGGCCAATGTGGTGCCTATCTTCAAGAAAGGGAGGAAAGTGGATCCGGCTAACTATAGGCCCATCAGCCTGACTTCTATCCCGGGGAAGATCTTAGAAAAGTTTATTAAAGAGGCCATCCTTAATGGACTGGCCGACGCCAACATCTTAAGGGATAGCCAGCACGGGTTTGTTGCGGGTAGGTCTTGCTTGACCAATCTCATTTCCTTCTACGACCAGGTGACCTATCACCTGGACAAGGGAGAAGAGATTGATGTCATATATCTTGACTTCAAAAAAGCCTTCGATCTGGTGTCCCATGATCGCCTCTTGGAGAAACTGGCCAATTGTCGCCTTGGGTCCTCCACGATCCACTGGCTGGAAAATTGGCTCCGGGGTCGGACCCAGAGGGTAGTAATCGATGGAAGTCACTCATCGTGGTGTCCTGTGACCAGTGGGGTCCCCCAAGGCTCTGTCCTTGGACCCATACTGTTCAACATCTTCATTAATGATGTGGACACTGGAGTCAGAAGCGATCAGAACTGGCCAAGTTCGCCGATGACACCAAACTTTGGGGCAAAGCATCCACACCAGAAGACAGGCAGGTTATCCAGGCTGACCTGGACAGGCTCAGCAAGTGGGCGGACGAGAATCTGATGGTGTTCAACGCCGATAAATGCAAGGTTCTCCACCTTGGGAAAAAAAACCCGCAGCATCCTTATAGGCTCGGCAGTGCTATGTTGGCTAGCACTATGGAAGAAAGAGACTTGGGGGTCATCATTGACCACAAGATGAACATGAGCCTGCAATGCGATGCGGCGGCTAGTAAAGCGACCAAAACGCTGGCTTGCATCCATAGATGCTTCTCAAGCAAATCCCGGGACGTCATTCTCCCCCTGTACTCGGCCTTAGTGAGGCCACAGCTGGAGTACTGTGTCCAGTTTTGGGCTCCACAATTCAAAAAGGATGTGGAGAAGCTTGAGAGAGTCTAGAGAAGAGCCACGCGCATGATCCGAGGTCAGGGAAACAGACCCTACGATGACAGGCTGAGAACCCTGGGGCTCTTTAGCCTGAAAAAGCGCAGGCTCAGGGGTGATCTGATGGCCACCTACAAGTTTATCAGGGGTGACCACCAGCATCTGGGGGAACGTTTGTTCACCAGAGCGCCCCAAGGGATGACGAGGTCGAATGGTCACAAACTACTTCAAGATCGTTTCAGGCTGGACATAAGGAAGAATTTCTTTACTGTCCGAGCCCCCAAGGTCTGGAACAGCCTGCCACCGGAGGTGGTTCAAGCGCCTTCATTGAACACCTTCAAGATGAAACTGGATACTTATCTTGCTGGGATCCTATGACCCCAGCTGACTTCCTGCCCTTTGGGCGGGGGGCTGGACTCGATGATCTTCCGAGGTCCCTTCCAGCCCTGATGTCTATGAAATCTATGAAATCTATGAAAGACAGCATGCAGATAGCCCTGGGGCCATATAGTCTGTACTGTCTGTGACCAAATCTTTTCCACGCCCTGGCCAAGAGCATGGCACATAGCCCCCAAGTGTAACATAAATGATAGGCTTGCATTTTGCTATAACTGTATCATATTCACCTGCCTCAACCCGTTTCCCTTCTTTTAGCTGATTGGCCACATGCTTAGGAAGCATAGCATACAGCAGAGCTTCTGTCTTTTTCTTTTCTTCTTCTAGGTGCTTTGATAATATCCGCAGTTCCTCTTTCTTCCTCTCCAGTTGGTTGGAGAGCTCCATCTCTGCCAGTCTTTGCTGGTTAAGAAGAATCAAATCCCTGGTGACATCATGGGGTGCTATGTCTGCAATATGCATCTGCCTCTCTTCTAGCTCATGCAAAGTGCGTAGTAAAGGTGAACAGAGATATAACATGCACTGCAGGGACTCCATCCAGATCATTTGTCCTAATTATAAAAAACAAGAAAGACAGTGATAGAGATGGAAAGAAAGCACATCTACTCTTCACTACTGGGAGATTCTTAGCTCTTAGGACAATTGCTGGTCCTTAGGTATATGGCACCAAAGAAAACTGTCACTTTCCCAGAATACCATTTGGACTATACTGGGCAAGAAGGAAGGTTCAGGACATGAGAGGCAGTCACCAGGGCTGTGCAAAATTTCGCCAGCTGTTTTGATTTGACACTGTCTCAGCTCATTTTGAGCTTGAAACAGTGACATTGAATCAAAACGAAGGGCTTTGAAACAGCCTCAGAACAAAACGAGGCTAGTCAAAATGTTTTGAAAGTTTCGAAATGTTTCAAGGTTCAAAGTGGCCAGCAGGAAGGTGGTGAGATACAGGAACCAATGGCAAAAATGGCACATATGGTCTTGTCCAAATCAAATCCATCCACAGTTCTGCAACAAAGACCTTTCTCCTAAAACTATTACTTAGATTATGTCACTCTTCAATTGTTTGCTCTCACATGCAAAGCCTGCCAGAGTCTATTTCCTCCCTGCCTCTCATTGCTTTTGAGATGTTGGCTTCTCAGACTTCCCAAAACATTTGAGAATCCTTTGAGATGATCTCCAGCAAATATAGGCAATATCAGAGTTGACATTAATGATATTCCTAAGGTAAAACATAATAAAAAATAATTAAGACACTTTTGTTCCTTTTCATTTTTAAACCGCAATTTGTTGTCATTACGTAGACCAATCAGAGCACCATTCAATACCACTTCCTCTGAAGGAAAATAAAGCAAATTAAATGTATTTTTTTCATAATCATTTTAATGTGCAAACCATTCCATATTTTTAAGGAAGGGAAAGATGCAGGAATAAGAATCTGAACTTTTTAATGATTACAAACACAAGCAAAAGTATGACTAGTCTATTTTCCTTGTCTGAATTTGAAAGAAATGCAAATAGTAAAGAAACTTCCCACCACATAATTGGTATAAACTAGCTCAGGTTTTAATCATTTCCTCAACTCAAGGTGTGATAGCACAGTTGAGGGCATCTGTTTTCTTTCAAATGAAGAATTTTTACACTGAGTTTCCTTTTAATTGCTACAGGTGGAAATGGAAATGCTTATTGACAGCAGTTATATTTTATTATATGACAGAAATGCTTGCCTAAGGTTTTACTTACTTCCCTTAGTACCAAGGTCACTGATAACCTAATGATGCTATCAGAGCTCTGGGAATTGGTGCCCCCTGTGCTAGCTGGCTTCCTCTGCAGAACAAAAAACATAATCCTATATAAAGATTGTTAACTGCTTTATTAAAGAAAGTTCTTAGCAGCGGGAGGGGATTTTTTTCTGCTGCACTTGCAGGGGCAGAGATAAGGGGAGGTAAAATATAGGAGTCACTTTTTTCAACTTAAAAAAAAAAAAGAAAAATCAGGTTATTTCATAGTCAACTTCTATTCTCCATAGCACTTGTATAACTTAGTAGCGCTCTCACGGTACTGAAAGCAGCGTCTGACTTTGTAGGCTTGATCTTATTAGGCTGACCATATGGAAATCTCAGAAATCTGGGGCACCAACTGGGAAATCTCGGATATTATCAGCAAGGGCAGGGCTGCTTACAAGTTGGCAGGGGTGGGGTTGCATACAGGGTGCTCTGCGCTGTTCCAACTCCGGCCAGGCTGCATCCCATGCCCCTGCATTTCTGGGACACCCATTATAATTGCCAACAGCCAGCTGGGACCAGCCTCTGAAATCCAGGACTGTCCTGGCTAAAACAGGACATGTGGTCACCCTAGATCTTATGTTATTTGAATACCCCAGAAGCTGGGTATTGAAGTGACCTCTTAGGATAAGGAATCTCTCCCATAGCTAGAAGTGGTATTAGAACCACTCTGCAGAGATATGGGGACATTAAAATCAACAATTTCAACCCTATAATTAGTTTTGGTTTAATAAGAACCTTCTGTACCTCTGAGCTCTAGCATTGGGCGTTGTTTCCAGGACTCTGGCATCATCTCCCGCCTCGTCCGGAAAACAAACTGACTATTGATAAATTTCTGAACACTAGAGATGGTGAACGTCACTTCTGGGTGCACAATACTGAAGTAGTGATCCAGGTGGATCCCCATAGTCTGAAGGCCAGGAACAATCTTCTGGATGCTCACTCCAGCTTGCTTCACCCTGAGCTTGAAAACAACAGATACCATATTACAATTTATATTCTGTTTGGCTCCAGCAACCAGTAATCTGAACCAACACTTGCAATGAGCTACAGTCAAATGCTGTTTGCAAATGCACTTAGAGACAGACACACTCAACCAACTTCTTACTGCAAATATATGGCTTTTTTGCATTAGTTCTTTCTTATTAGCACAAAAAATGTTGATTGGGACTTGAGAACTGGTATTGAAATACAAGGTGTCCCTGTCCCTGATGGCAAGATATTACCCAAAGAACAGAATCTTGTTAAGACTGTCAGTGTTAATATTCATTAGAGGTGTGTAAAATGGACCCTATTCAATTTGGGTTTGGATTCAGCCTAAATTGGGGACAGTGATTCAATTCGTTGATTCGGATTACTGTCCCCAAGTCAATTCGGCCGAATCTGAAGATTTGATGCTGATTTGGAGTGTAACCTGGGTACACCCAAGGGTGTGCCCTATTCTCAATTGGATGGGATGGGTAGGCAGGAGGGGGTGCTGTGAGAGGGATGTCAGAATTTCAAACAGATTCCTCTTTCCTCTATAGAGTTAGCCCAAGCCCAAAGTTCTTAGCTATATACAATTTATTAAGTTATAATATACATAAACATAAAACTAAATATCATATACATATATTTACACAGAAAACACTAACCAATAACCAAGGTCAAACTCTAACTAACACTGTTTACAACATCACAATACAACATTTCAATTACAAAATATAAGGCACAAACGTGAAAAATCTTAATAACGTCTATTCCTTAATATAGTCCCTGACCCATGGCAAGAGATTGTCCTCCTTCCAATGGAATTCCTTGTGGGGTGTCCAGGAAGCACCAGGCGCCCCTCCCCTTAGGGCCTTGACTAGGCGGGGGAGGGGGAGGGCTGCTCACCCAGCCCCTTATCTGGGTTTGCCCACCCCAAACATCTTTCCCCTATAGGACCGAAGGGCCCAATGATTCACACTCCCTCAGGTGGCAGTGGTCAGGGCGCAGCTCGATGGGGTCTCCTCTGCTGGAGCGACTCTCCAGGCCTCTCCTACACCACTGGGCTCCTCTCCATCCTATGCCTTGCTCTGGGCACCGAGGGCTCAGCTCCTCTCAGCTGCTGCACCACTGCTGCTGGCTCCTGGGTTCTGGGCTTCACACTGCAGCACTACCATTTCCCCATGCCCTGGCTCGGCACTGAGGGTTCTCTTAGCACAGGCCGGGCCCTTCAGGCTCCAGCCAGCCATCCTCATGCCAGGTGGCTAACCCAAACAGCCTCCACTGCTCCCTGGCTCCCAAGGCTCGGGCCCATGCATCGCCCTGCACACCATGGAACCTGGCCGCTTGCCGGGAGATGGGGCCTGAGCCGCCTCACTACAGCCCCAAGGCCTTTGCCCCATGGGCTGCCCTGCACACCGTGCGGCCCACTGGCCCTGCCAGGGTTGCAGGCTTGAGCCGCTGCTTGCGGCTCCCAAAGCCTGGGCTCCATGCACCAAACCATGCACCATGATGGGCCCAAGCAGTCTCACACTGCTCCCAGGGCTGGGTCTCCACGCACTGACCCTTGTGTGCCGTCAACAGCCTGAGCAGTCTCGCACCACTCCCAAGGCTGCTCCTCCAGTGGCAGGTTCAGGAGCCTTGGGCCTATTGCCCGCTGGGGGAGAGCTCCCCAGTTTTTCTTGGCTCTGCTCTTCTTGAGTCCCTCACTGCTTCTGCCCTGTGCTGGGCAGGCAGTTGCTTTTATACACTCCAGGGCTTTGCCCCTGAAGTCTTACAGACCTGACAGTTTACAGTCTTCAATCAGGTCCGGGGTGGTTCTTCTCCCCCTCCCCTCAGGAAAGGAGCATGACTTTATTTCTCCTGCTATGTCCTGATTGGTGGATGGGCTCCACCAATCAAAACAGCAGGATCTCAAGCCTGGGACTCAACCCATGCTCTGAAAGGTGAGCCTGCTACAGGAGAATCAGCAATTTGGCCATAGACACAGCTTTAAATGTTTTTTCTACATACCTCAAGGTACCAGGCATAGGTCGTGGATGGATGGGTGGATGGAGCGTCCCACAGGAGCATTGAGGGGCCCTCACGTGCTTGGCAGCCAACCTGGAAGTACTTCCGGTCCACTTCCAGGTTCACCGGGGAGCACGCAGCCCCCACTCTGCCTCCCTGGCTCAGCGATTGGTTGCAGGAGGGGACTCTGGGTGCCCCCCAGACCTAGGAGGCACTAGTCGCCGAGCTGGGAAGTACAGGTGGCCCCCAACATGTTTTCTGGCAGACTGGAAGTGGACAGGAAGTGCCTCTGGTCCACTTCCGGGTCTGCTGCCGAGTGCACTGGGGAGCCCCCCGCACTTCTGTGGGACACTCCATGAGCCCCAGCATCACAGCATTCACGAGCCACCTGCTACCTAGAGGTATGTAGAAAAAACCTTTAAAGCTGTGTTTGTGTCCGAATCTCTGAGTCGATTTGGAGGGTTCCAATTCGATTCAGAGAGATTAAAAAGTCCTCTAATTTGATTAGGATTTGGAGATTTGGCTACTGAATTGGGCTGAATCTCCACCAAATCGAATGAGGGACCAAACCTTTGCACAGCCCTAATATTCACTGAATTCTCAATTTTATATAAATAATGGCTCTCTCTCATCTTCTAGCTTACTTCTGTATAAGCGCAATGTAATTCCTCTGATATCACTGTTCAAAACAATGCCAGAGAGAAGAGAAATAGGTACATTTTAACAGTGATATGCTGTAATGACAAAGCACCGAGTCATTTTCAATTCAGTTGTGAATAGTATGTAAATAATATTGTTTTAAAACTCATGAAGCTCTTTCACACTTCCTCAGTAATTCCATGTCCCCTGGTATATAGCAATATTATGGTGACTGAGGGAAAAAATCATTCTAAAATTAAAAAGGATTGTATCATTTCTTTCAGCTTTCTTTCAGGTGTGTTGTGATCTCTTTCTTCTCTTTCATTTGGCCATGCTGTTACATCACAGTGGTTATTAAAAAGGATTGTAAATACAATGCTGGTCAGTTTAACTTGTATAATGTGATTGGTAGGAGTGTTCAGTTTTGTAGGAGACATAGCTTGGGATGGATGTTTGCAGCATTTATTTTTAAAATTTAAAACTGGATATTTATTAGAAATATATAAATATTTAGAAATATAAAAATATAACAGACCAGAGCCATAAATTTGTAGTAATTGCTATCTGAGAAAGATCATTCCCTGTATTCAGAATAGGAAATAGCTGTGGTACTAAGTGTGCTGGCACACATTAACTATGGAATGGAAAACAATGACCACTGTTTCCCTTTTTCAGGCGTCACCTTCCCAACAGTTTTTAAGGGGACAAGTTCTCTTGAAAACTCATAATATAATAATTCCCTATTTTCTTCTCCTTACTTTCCAAAACGATGGTAGCTGCATAACCAATGAGAACCTGCATCAGCTCCCACTGATGGGTATAAAACCAGGCCTGTATTCTGTACTAAGAATTTGGTTGAGGTGTTGATGATTAGATGCCTAGAAAGACTTATGACACTGAAGTGAATTGCATATCGGTATTACAAAACTTCCTCCTCACTACTCAAGCATCACAATGAAGAATCATTTTTCATAAATGCCTCTTTTATCTTTGCTTCCCTGATCCTACTAATATTTTCTAGGTTGAAAAAAAAAACGAGTTAAGAGAAACTAGCAAATTTGGGAGACCCACTTATAACCGCTTAGGGGAACAATGCTCTTCGTATCAGCCTTCTTGTGGCAGAAGCGTGTAGGTGGAAGGAAAATGGCTCAGATTCCTTTCAATGGGTGTGAAGAGATGCTGGATTTCTCCTACTGTGGGCTGGGCTCCTTGGATCATTTGCCTTAGTGTGTATCTTGGTTTTCTGCTGGATGCAGAGTCCCAGTTATCAGAAAGGCGTCACAGAAGTCACTGTGCAGATGGGGGTTTGCAAGCTGAATGGGTACAAGAATATAGCTGTAGGGGAGTATGGGACATATTTCTGGACAACCCAGGTGACACAGAAAGAGCCATTATTACTTAGAGAATCCAAGTCACAAACATGTTTGATAATTAGTAGACTATTACATGCTTTTTAGACCTTATACTGCCACTTTGCCTGCAGAAATTTCAATGGAGTTACCGTATCTGGTTGCTAGTATGTGTGGTGTCTTCCCACCAATCTACATGCAGAACTTCCACTGATGTTAACCATGGGTATGCACTATGTATGGAGCGCAACAGTGCAAGATGGTTCTATATGTACAATGAAAATAGAACAAATAACATAGCAATGTGGCTTGTGTGTGTAAAACTGACTTCCCACATGCTTGCCTTACCTCTTTGTCAAAAACAATATGGAAAGGCAGTCCATTGCAAAATGTTTTGGTGTCTATCCAGAGGGTCTTAGGATAAACAGGATCAAATCCTCTCAGTAGTTTACCTGCAGTAAGATAAATCTGCAGCTTTCAAACATGTTGCAACTCATAAATCTGATCAGTATTTCTCTGCAGTACCTGATCTTACAGGACTGCATGACAGAATAAAGTAAAACAAAATAAAAAAATTTGTGGGTGCAAATACGTGCATGCAGATATTTATGTGCAGTAAATGCTCTATAGAGAAATATAAAGCTGCTTACCCATCTCAAATTGATTTGGTTGAAAAAGTTTAAAAACCTAAACACAGAAAAATATGAACCTTTAGATGCGTGAAACGATGTCAAAACAATGAAAATAGATGGGTAGCTGTAAGACTTGATGTTCTTTGAATGTATAAATACTTTAGTGATTGCCCCTGCTATACTCACATTGAAATGTATCTAGCACTGCCATTTAAAATAGTTTGCCAGTTGCTATAGAACTTTTACAGAAAAAAGATTTAGGACCACAGATCCATTTTCTCAGTGACATCTGGGTGCCATAGATCCCATTGGTCCTTTTGAAGGATCTGAGCCAAAATCTCATATGTGCAGATATTTGGTCTATTGAATGAAGGTTCTCTCAGAAAGAGCTGAACTTAGGTTGAAGTAAATCAGAACTCATCATTTTTGTAAATCAGGCCCATGGTAACTTTGAGCTTTTGATCCTATTACATGAGGAAATTAGGCAATTTTGTTGATTTGAAGTACAGTTCTGCTCTAAAACTAATTAAACCTGCTCTTTATCTGCTTTCCATATTCATGGTTTTGTGTGTTCTGAGTCAGATTTGTTGATCTTAGTTCTGAAAGGGTGTAGAGGAATGAAAACTTATTTCTGGATCTAAGACACCTGTTAGAGACAGAGCTGGATTCCAATTCTTCTCGTGGAATCCTCACAGAAGCCTCTCAGCTGCTACCTTCCTACAAACCTGTTAATAGCAATGGGTACACAGGTGTCCCCAAGGGCACAATTAGATGTCACTGGTTAGCACAGATCTCCTGAAAGCTATGGTTTGGTTTTCAGAACCTATTAAAGTTGAAAAGAAAGATACCAGCTTGAATATCAGGTGCTATATTGAAAAGTATGGTTTTTATTTTTAATCTGAGGCCATTTCATCTGGAAATAAGCGAGAAACATTAAGTAAAAAAAAAACCTTTGTGATGCCATCTTTGCTGGAGCACTTTTGAGAGTGGAACTCTACTTTAAAGATGGGAGAGACATGATACATCCAACTGGTAAGCATGCTAATTTATTTATGACTATTGGAAAACAGTTATCCCAGTGAAGGAACTCGGAACAAGGACATTTTGAAAAGATGAATGGGCATTAGGTAAAGAAGTTGAGATGTGGGTGATTCACTGAATATCACATTTAAGTTATTAATAAATTATGTCCAAATCCTTGTGAATGATCTCCCTCTTACCTTTTCCTAATGTAACAATTCCTCTTATTGTCGTCCAGTGACTTTTCTTGACAGGACGAACAGGAACAAGGCTTGTTCTATCTCTAATCTTATTCACAGCTTTTTCAAGGTCCTGTGAAATAAGTCCAACTGAAACATTCAGCTTTGCTTTCCCTTCTCTTTTTTTTTAAATCTTTCTAGCAAGTAAAGCAAAATGGATCAGGTCTTTATCACATGTAAAATCAGCACAAACCCATTTACTTCAAAAGAAGATATATCATTTTACAGCAGCTAGAGATCTGACCCAAAGAAATAAACCTTATATGAAAAAGAAAGAAATATCAGTGGTATATTTTCAAAGTTCCCAGACCCAACTTTTGAAATGGAATTGCCACCATTGCATGTCATGAGTCTTTACATGCAGTTGGTTTTGGTGTACAGGTTTTTGCACACCTGGAGAAGAACATAAATACGCAAGTTAGCTATTTAGGCATCTAACTGGTATCCGCATGCAAATTCCATTTGGGCAATTCAACTTGGGCACCCAAAAGTACTCATCCAAAAATGGGGTTGTATCCATGAAGTCATGCAAACTTAGAGGCAACATTTGAGGTGTTGGGAAACTTAAAGAAGACATGCAACAATCATCTAAAATTGGGTAAAAAGTCTCAGTAATTGTATTAATAAGTAATTACTATTTGCAGGAATAGGAATATAAAAATACCTTATTCAGTAGTTTTTCACTTTGCCTTCCAGAATCAGCAAGATATTGTGGTAAGGAAGAAAATTTCTCTCTCTTCTTATATGAAAATACAGGTTTTTGAGTGACAAGGAAAACAATGTGTTCTTTTTTCCCAGTCCTTTCTTCCTCTTCTGTCTGATTGACTATTTCCATTGAAATTTCAGTGTTGAAAAAATCCAGGGCTGCTGCACCAATGATTCCTAGAAGGAAACAAAAGACAGAATGCTGTCAAAAATCTTCCATTTTAACAAATATTTTTGCAATGCCATGTATTAGATCAGCCAAATTATAGGTGACTTAGGCTGTACTGATTGGGGTTTAGATATCTGGTGTGCAAGATCTCATAGTCATGAATCAGTAATTGGACTACTTATTCTAAGGTAAGTATTTGGGACTAGATCTTGAGCTGATATAAGTCTGCATACTTCTGTTGGTTTTATATAGAACAAAGGCAATTTATATCAGCTGTGGATCTGGCCCCAAGATAATATAGGAACACAGATAACTATGCACAACACAAATTAAGTTAATGAAGAAAATCCCCAGAGCCTGAAACATTCTCTAAGAGCTAGAGTGAGCCATTTAGATTCAGCCCTAAGCCAAGGGTAACTTGCAGTTGCAACCACCCAGGAGGTGCCCCAGGAAGGGGCATGCTACTGAAATAGGAGTTCCTGTTTTATGTGGACAGTGATGGGGCAGTAGGGAACTTTGCTGTTTCAGCTGATTTGATTACCACACCGTAATTGGCTGTCTGAGGCATGGAGAGTTGGCATATTTCTAGTTCTCCTTACTGTCTCTAAATAATCAGCTAATACATACTCCTCTCCAACCTACTTCTGCTTCCTTGTGCCCAGATTCAAAATCCAGGTAAATCTTGTGTGGGGGAGGGGTGGTATTGGGGCTTTACCTATTCCAACTATCATGTGGTGTTTAATCATAGAGTTCTAGCATTGTTGTAGCTGTGATGGTTCAGGAAATATGTGAGAAGAAAGGTTTTTTTGGTGATATCTTTCATTGCACCAAACAGGAGATGAGACAAGATTTTGGAGGTAAAATGCATTTCTTCAAGTCTGGAAAAGATGTCAGTGGAGCATGCTATGTTGTCTTAGTCTCAGCCTAGCTCATAGATTCATAGATGCTAGGGTCGGAAGGGACCTCAATAGATCATCGAGTTCGACCCCCTGCATAGGCAGGAAAGAGTACTGGGTTCAGATGGCCCCAGCCAGATGCCTTAGTCTAAATCTGCTCTCTGCTAGCTTGTGGCCATTATTTCTTGTAACCCCCGGGGGTGCCTTGGTGAATAAAACCTCACCAGTTCCCTTCTGTGCCCCCATGATGAACTTATAGGCAGCCACAAGGTCGCCACTCAACCTTCTCTTGCAGAGGCTGAAGAGGTCCAGGTGCCCCAGTCTCTCCTCATAGGGCTTGGTCTGCAAGCCCCTAACCATACGAGTGGCCCTTCTCTGGACCCTCTCCAGGTTATCCACATCCCTCTTGAAGTGTGGCGCCCAAAACTGCATGCAGTATTCCAACTGCAGTCTGACCCGCGCCCGATAGAGGGGAAGTATCACCTCCTTGGGTCTGTTCGTCATGCATCTGCTGATGCATGATAAAGTGCCATTAGCTTTTCTGATGGCTTCGTCACACTGCCGACTCATGTTCATCTTGGAGTCCACTAGGACTCCAGGATCCTTTCCGCTTCCATTCCACCAAGCAGGTCATTCCCTAGGCAGTAGGTATGCTGGACATTTTTCCTCCCTAGGTGCAGCACTTTACATTTCTCCTTGTTGAATTGCATTCTGTTGTTTTCCGCCCACATGTCCAACCTGTCCAGGTCTGCTTGTAGTTGTTCCCTGCCCTCCGGTGTGTCCACTTCTCATTGTCATGCATCAAGAAAATAATTATTCTGTAGAAGAGTTGACTGGAACTATTTTAACTGATGTATATTTTGAGAAGATTATAGAGTATTGCTATGAATGTCTGTGTTTTTCTAAATAACTTTCTTGCAGTTTGACCTTAATTAGGCAGTCAAAGAGAATACTCTCTCTCAAAGTATTTCATCAAGATGCATTATCATTGCTCCCAGTTCTATATATTAATATGTGGCTGTTCAGTGGAATATTGCACCATGACAGTGATATGAAAAATTACTCTGCATTTCTAAAAATCATTGAAGTCTCAAATAGCTGTGAGTTCCACTGTGTAACAAGGAAATAAAGGGGGAGATTTGATTGCATTTTAAAGTAAAAGTTTCTGTGCAGGGACATCTATTTAATCATATCGATCCTAGTCCTAATTCTATGTAAACACTACATCAATATAATTGTGAAAAATAGTGATTCTTTCAAAATTCATGGGACTGGGTTTCAGAATGAAGATTTTTATTTCTGCAAATATAAATATCATGCGCAGTCCTGAACGGAGTTCAATAATGATTTTTCCTGGGTAAATTTTGAAGGTAGTAGTTTTACTGGTAGTGGGAGATGGCACAATCCCTGGTCACCGAAGTTAAAGGAGGTCAGAAATAGAAGTCAGGCGGCACTCAGAGAGCAGGTGGGGACTGGGGTGGTATTGCTGTGCTCCACTGTAGTTATTTTGGGGACACAAGTTATTAAGAACTAAAAATAACACCTTGTCTCTACAGCATACAGTAGGGACTTCCACGTTTTCCATTGTAAAACTCTGATCTTTTTCAGAACTGCTAAGCCCTCACAAATCCTGCTGAAGTCAGTAGGAGCTGCACCCACACAGCTTCTCTGAAAAATCAAGCTATAAAGGTCAAATATCTAAAAGGCAGTTGAAAATCTGTCAAGCTTTCAATTCCACAGACAATCCTCAGTCATAGAACTTTTGAAACCTGAGCAAGAAATAGATGCAAACATATTATGAATCAGTTATGAATCAGTCCATGTATGCATTTCTACCTAAGCTATAGTATGCATCTTTACCTGGAACAATATGGCATAGACCTCTTCTATCTGAGTAGTAATGTAAATGCATTGACCCATCTTCATTATTTTCTACTCTAAAAGAAGGTGCATTCATTTCCTGGAGCAGGGGAAAGAAGAGGAAAATGTTAAATACCTTTTCTAGCACAATAATAAGCTGCATAAAAGCATATTGGCAAAATAAAAAGCAGCACTCGATGGTAGTGATTTTCTAGTTTCACTTGAGGTTTATCAGAAAAAAATCCTTATTTCTCTAGAAAAATCTACTATACTTTGACCCAAAGTACTAAGTAGCTTTATATCTAATATTAAAGGTAACTTTGAAGATCTGATTTTTTCCCTAAGGCATCAGAATAAGTCATTTCAATGCACAAAAGGACTGGTTTATAAACATATTTAATTCAGGTGATAAGATACTCTCTTGTGTGTTTATGCTTCAGTTTTCATCTATAACTGCTCTCTAGTTATTACTTAAACTTGCCTGATAAGAAAGAGATAAGTAGCTGTGCAATGAATCCAGGTTTTCTATGAACTCGTAGAGATTTCCACCCAAGGTTCTTAACATATGGTCATAGCCTGATCGTTTGCAAAACTCAAAGAAATACTCTCCAAACTGCTTCAGAACCATATCAGAGGGAACACCTGGAAAAACAAATATATGTTAATGCAAAAAACTAGATTGGGGAGTTATAGCAATGCTCTGAAATGGAATCATAATGATAAATGCAAAGGTTTTTCGATACAAGCAGGGAATTTTAAGATTGAGGGAGTGGGCTATGACCTGGACTGTTGCCCAGAGATGTAGGCCTGGGCTGGAAATATTTAATGTGATGTGAAACATACCTAACATTTTGCAGGCTTTATCAATTAGCAGCATTGTGATCTCATCTTGGTAAACTTCAAAAGTCAAAAATGAATCCTGAACTCCTGCTTGGATCCTGCAACAAAAGTGATATTCTGTCTCAAGATTGCCCTAAACAGAACAGAATTAAGGAGCCCAGCTTGTTTGCCTTACTCAGACTCCATTCCCATTGCTACATTTCTTAATCAGTCAGCACTATGATATCTGAGCATGGCCTTTCTTTATGAATTTAAATTAGATTAGGCAGTGCCTGCTAAGGACAGAATAACCAAACAGGCCTCAGTCCTGCAGTTTTTAGTCATGTGAGTAATCCCTTTGAAGGCAGTAAAGCGTTAAAGTATATTTAAGTACCTGTGTGAATGAGTCCATGTGTATTTATTATTTTATTTCATGGTAGGACTTCTGTACTCCAATCAAGAACTAAGGTCCCATTTCATTAGATTCTGTGCTGACAAGAGATACCTATTTCTTCACTTCCATTGGCTTGTTGTAGATTATGGTTCATACTGTTAAGCTCTTGGGTCAACATAGGCTTGACTAGACTCTTTCTATTAGTTCAGTGGGTTTTACATCATGGCCTATATACCGTGGTAACTAATTTTCTTTATTGCTATATCTTTATTTTCATGCAAAATTGGATAAAACCTTTAAAACAAAAATGTGAAGGGGAGAGAATATGATGTCTTCAATTACATTTAATTGTTTTTGCCTGAGGTTCTCAAGTGAAATTGACTTCAAAATAAGGGCAGCATCTATTCAGCATAATTACTTTTCAGTAATAGTACAATAAGCAAGTGTGACTATTGCACAAATACTCATTGGACAAAATTTCACCCCTAATTATTTGGCATAATATATAAAGTAATCAGGACAGATTAAAGTGATATGATGAAAGTACTACAGTGTAAAAATCTTGTCTTTGCCTTATCAGTTATTTTTAATAATTGCTTAGATTTTACATCACAGTGAGAGACTGTTATCCTGTGCATGCTACTAAACTCCTTTACACTTAATTTATTCAATTTTGTAGGAATGACTTACCTTAATTTTTCCCAGGTTTCTTCACCATATTTCTCAACCACTAGAGACTTCAGGCATGTATTTATAAATCCATACTGCAAAACCAAATACGGGAATATGGAAAAAGGTACAGATTTTTAAAAATTTAGTCCAACTGACAAATCTCACAATATTTCACAAATCTCACAATGTAAATCTGCAGGACAAAGTAAAATTGGCTCTGTTATGTCTTACTGTGTGTTTTATTTACATATACACACAAATACAGGTAGATAGATAAATATATAGAGAGATGATAATGATTTGAAAAGTTAAGCATTAAAATATATTCTAATCAATAGCTTTGTAATAGCAACAACAACACCACAGAGTTAGGGACTAAACAGCTCACCCAAGGCCTGACCCTGAGCTGCCTGAGCCCATATTGAGACCCCCTGTGACAGCAGTAGATTTTGAATTATGCCTATACTCCAGTGGTTTTCAACCTGTGGTCCATGGACCCCTGGGGCTCCACAGACTATGTCTAAGGGGTTGTGAAAAATGACTTTGAACGATCACAAATATGTGAATACCCACCCTCACAATTCAAAGGAGTCCGCACCTCCATTGAAAATGTTTTTGGGGCCCTCGTGAAAAAGGTTGAAAACCACTGTTGTAGGCAATGGCAGTGATGAGGATGGACTCCAAATTCCCTGACTGCCAAGCTTGGCTCCAAATGCTAACCTTCACTGTGTCCACTTCCAGTTTGAACTGGACATTTCCATGTCACTGTTGTGCCAGCTAAAGGAAAAGTCTCTTCCTCATAAAGCAAATCTCCGTGTGCATTTTGTCTTTAAGTGAGGGCTTCGTCCTATCAGCAGGCCCATCATTACGCAGGAGGCAAAATTTGTATTGAATGTTGTTGGCTTCAGGACTGTGCCGGCCCTAAGGTGTCGCCTGGAAGAGCAGCCCTGCGTTTTCCAGGCAGCAGAAACTTCATTTCCAGACGGGATTATATTCCACGGGACTCTGCGCCAGCTCTGCACAGCCGCGTGTGAAGAGCGGCGAGCTGCGGACTGGTGTCCCGCGGCGCCGGGCGGCGCACGAGGGTGCCGCTGCTACACGACCCGGGGCTTCCTGGGAGCGGGCGCAGCTCGGTGCTGGGTCTGGGGGCCGCACCAAATGGATGCGGACCTTTGCGTGCCTGCCTGGTGCCCGACGAAGGGACACCACTGGGCGGTGAAGCCCTGGCCCCGCTGCCGGCAGAGCCGTGAGGTCTCGCCGCGCCCTGCCCACGGCGGTCGGGAGGCAAGGCGGGCTTTCCCGGCGGGGCTGACAGCTCCCGCCTCCCCTTTCCCCACGGGAGCGGGGCGGCCCCGCTGCCCTCCCGCCTCTCGAGGGCCGGCGAGGGGGCATTCATTGCCCCGTGCTGGCAGCGTGCGGCGC